AAAAAAAAAAAAAAAAAAAAAAAAAAAGATCACACATGCCTCAGTGAAGATCCTGCGTGCCGCAACTAAGACCCAACGCAGGCAAAAAAATAAATTAATTAATTTTAAAAAATTTTATGTCTTACAGAGACTTGCCCAAAGTCTCTAGGCTATTGAACAACATATACTAAAACTATACTAGAACAAAAACCTTTCAACTTCTAGGCCAGTTCTTTCCATTTTATCATACTTCCTCATAGCTCAACTTCTCAAATGTCAAGGACAAGGTGTAATGTTATAAATGATTAGGAACTAATAAATAAGAATACATTATACAATATATCACAAGGTACCATACAGTTAAGGCCAAGAGAATGATAAAGACAGCAATTGCTATTAAAGTTCAGATTACTGTGGGCTACAGCTGACTGGTTACATTTTTAAATAAACAGAATTTAGGGACTTCCCTGGTGGCGCAGCGGTTAAGACTCCGTGCTCCCCACGCAGGGGGCCTGGGTTCTATCCCTGGTCAGGGAACTAGATCCCACATGCATGCCGCAACTGAGACTTCGCATGCCACAACTAAGGAGCCCAAGTGACGCAACTAAGGAGCTGGCAAGCCACAACTACTGAGCCTGCCGGCCGCAACTAAGACCCGGCGCAAACAAATAAATAAAAATTAATTTTTTTAAAAAAAACAGAATTTAAAGAAGAATGAACTTCCTTATTTTACAAATAAAGAAACTCAGGCCCTGTATATAGAGCTAGTTGGTGGCAGTCCTTTAGGGAAAAAGTAATTTGAGCTGGGTCTCGAAAGATACCTAGATAAGATTTGAATAGGCAGGAAGAAGAGCGGACTTTCCAGGTAGGGAAATCACATATGCAAAAGCCTAGAGGCTGAAACAAATCAATCAAATTCAGAGACCAAAGAATTCATTCTTTTTACTAAGAATAAAGAAAGATAAATTTAGGAATGGCTAAGTTTTGTGTTGGGGATAGGGGAGGGAGTTTCAATACTTAATTAAACTTCATCCTATAGGCAGTGGGAGGAAGCTAGAGTGGGTTTTGAGCAACAAACATAAATTTCTTAGAAAAGCCCAAATTATGCATTTGTCTGGAAGCCAAGAATATAAACATAAAACAAAGGTTATAATAGCCAAAATATTTAACCAATAACAAATCCAATTCTAAAAGGAAAGGTGGAGAAGATATCTAAAAAAAAAGTTAAATAATAGAATAAAAAATGAACAATGAAAGAAAATGGAAACAAATGAGAGAAGAATAAATGACAGATGTGGACAAATGAATCAACAGTTACATTATAAAAGATGTTACTTCATGCAGTCAAGTTCTGGAAAGGGGATTAAATGATCCAAACAAGTTAGTCTCCATGGCTAAAAGAACACACTCAAAGCATAACCACCAAATGTTACTGTTTCAAACTGCAATAACTCACCTCTCTAGCAGCACAATCATGAGGAGCTTCTTCTTTATTTACTTTTCCTTTTGGAAATCCCCAGCCTGATTTTGCTAGGTACCCCTGAACCAGTAATACCTACAAAACAATCAGAGGTAAAAATAAAACTTGCCCTCCTTTCCCATGTTCCTTTCTAAAAGCCAAAAGTGCTTTTCTCCTTACTTCAGGTAACTGTTATCACCAATAATTTTACTTGGTTAACTATCCTTCAGGAAGCTAAATATACTATTACTTTTCCTGTAAAGAAAGGTATTCTGTCCATTTTAAAGTATTTCTTCAAAAATCAAATGATTCCTTTGCAATAAGCCAAGCTGCAACAAGTATAAATTATTAAGACCCAGAATGCAGATGAAATACACAAAATCTGGCCTTTTATCAACTAAAAATCTAAGTATATTTTTAAAACCTCAGTTCAGAACATTATAAAAACAACGCATTAGGATGAAAACAGCTGATCACCATTTCACTAAAAATCTTTTATTACTCTCACTCACATTTTCAAGTGTCTCATCAAGAATAATTGCACCATATGTTGGCACTCCCATTTTATATTCTTTCCATTCATCCAAAATTTTTTCCACATCTTCACCTTGAGGCAGCAAAAATGGACAATGACTGAAGAGTATACATTGTGTTAAGGAAGCTACTTTCTCCCTTAATACAGCTTAAGCACTTATACACATAAAGACATCTATTTAAATCAACTGTGTATTTTACATGAAATTACTCATATCTTCACCTCACTTAAGTTTATCCTTCTTGCTTTTGTCTTTTCACATTTGTTTTCTCTTGAACAAGCCATTGCTAACTTCTGCATTTAGCCTAGACACAAATCAAGTAAATTGTGAATACTCAAATACTCTGGCTCCCTAAAGTTAACACAAATAAACTCAGGACCATGTGAACACTTGGAATAATTCTCGTTAAGTGGGTCGAATTCATCATATTAAGAGTCAACAGATACTGAAACTGACAGCAAGAAATATAAGCACAGTACACATATACTGGTAAGAGCTAGGAACCATCAGAATAAGTGAAAGTGGGAATTCCCTGGTGCTCCAGTGGTTAGGACTCCGCACTTCCTGTGTAGGGAGCAGAGGATCAACCCCTGGTCGGGAACTAAGATCCCACAAGCCTCAAGGCCAAAAAAAAAAAAAAAAGAGTAAGTGGAAATGGCTAACTCTGGGAAGCAGAACATATTACACTGCCGAATTTCTTTACCATGTATATATAGCTTCTATAATTTAAAACATTTTTAAGATGAAGATTTATTAAGGATTATAGAGAAAGGTAAATATGGGTTTTAAGGAAAGTATGGCCTGTTTCAAAAGAAACTGGGTATGCCTCCCCAAAATTGGGCTGAGTAAAGTAAGGTTTTTTTTTAAACTAAATAAAACCTAAACCTGTAAAGTATATGCTCAGGCTTCCAATACTCCATGCTACCAAATGCCTCATCACTACAGTACTGTTAATTAAGAAAACTGTGGGGAAAATTATAATTTATGATAGCGTTTCTCAAATGGAGGACATTCTCAAGGGTCTTCAAGTCCTCTATGAAAACTTACATATTCTGTCTTTTCATTTTTATGTTAATGTAAAGGCATGTAATATGAGCATATTTTCAATCATTTGGATGATCTCATCCATCAAGTACTACACTACTTGATTTTAGAGACCATATTGGTACTAGTACTTTAACTGCTGTGGGCTACTAAAAACAGAAAAAACGTAATATGCAAATAGTGTATTACAGTCAAATGATATTCCATTGTAACACGGAAAGGAAGGTTTCATAACACATAAAGAAAGGTTCTGGAAAAACTTGTGGTACAGGCACATCAAAACACCCTTAAAGACAGCATTATATTCACATTGTGACTAGTAGTTTGGTTTAAACAAAAACATCACATTAAATTCACTTTATGAAAACTAATTTTATGAGTTCTACAGCTTTGTGTTTAAAATTTTGCTTTGGTTTTATAGTTGTAGTAAGAACTAAGGTTCTCAAAGAGCTCAAAAAAGTCAACCATCTATAACAACACTGTAATTAAAAGACAGGCAGTAGATTAATCTCAATATAAACACTTCTTGCCTTTATTTAGGGAGGGGGGAAAAAAGAATCAATTATGGATATAATACTAACTATTCCATGAAGCCCTATGGTTCTACAACAGCTTGCTAGAATTCTGGAAACTATTTCTCAATAAAAGTCTGGCTTGAGATGTTCAGTAAAATCCCTTATGTGTTTTAAAGTCACCAAAGATTTTTTTGAATCTAGTTATAAATTTAAAATAAATGGATATTTTTTCCATTAAAAATTTAACCATAGTGAAAAAAACATACGAATATACCCCAGGAATACAGGTAACTTCCAATAATTCAAAGAGGAAGACACTTATCTAGTTTTTTTTCTTTCTCTTCCTTCTCCCTACAATGTTCCTCATAACTTCAAGGTGCATCAACGTCTCTCTAATGAAGTGTTATCTCATTTTTCTACCCATTAAACAACTTCTTTAAAAAGAATAACAAAAACAAAGGTTTAGCAAAAGAAATTAAATCAACTGACATAACCTTGGAAATTATCTACACTCTTCATTTACCTACTTTTTTCCCTATCCCCAAATCACCATAAAATGAGTGAGTTGGTGAACCAACCAACTACAGTTCAAGATACACTTGGAATTAATGTTGAAAAGTACTTGCTCAAGTCCACACAATTAGCAAATAACAGAACCCAATCCAAACTGACATCAATTTCCCCAATGACAACTCTTCAATCCTCTTCCATATTCAGGAGTACATAAAGTAATTCAAACAAGGGAGTGGAAAGTTTTTGAATACCATTTTTATTTAATGAGACAATGTATTTAATTAAAAAAACCCTATGACATACTCTGAGTAATGTTAATTATCTTTCTAAATCACTAAAATCACTACTTGGCTACTGTCTTATTTTCTTAACCACCAAACCAAACTATTTTGCGTCTTGAATCTGGGTTACTGGGCCCTACACAATAGTTCTAAGAGAAAGATAGAAGATCACATTGATTACATGAAGAATGTAAGAAATTTTAAGCACACTTGTATTACATATATCCTCTTTCTTTTTTAACAATTCAGTGATTTTTTTATATACTCTTTTTATTCTAACATTTTTGCAAAAACATGAAAAATCTGCTCTAACGATAGACAATCATTTAGATAGTAATCTCCATCCTTCCATTATCATAGCCGATATTGATCTCCCCAAGAACAACTCATCTCACTCTCCAGGCTCAGTTCCTTGTATTCCTTGTACTTTATATCCATGCCCACTTCTGGGACCAATTCCCACAGGAACATTCTGGACCTTGCCATCAATAGATCTATTATAGTACTTTGATTAGAATAAAACATTGTGACCACAATTTTCTACAGCCGTCTTCTAATTACTCACAATATACTGTTATTCTACATCTATTTTTGACTGTCTTCCTTTCTCCATATTAGCACCCTCCTGCTTTTATTTCCTTCCCTAAACAATATGGTCCATCACTTTAATCAATGTCTTAGCAATATCCAAAATTTCTTTGCCCCACTATTCTGAATACAGCTCCCTAGTAAAACCTCAACCCAGGATCAAGTCCAGGACAGCCATTCTATACCCACACTGCTGAGTGCTTACTGAAGAAAAATCACAAGACCATGCAAAATTAACAAAAGAGAAAACAGAGGCACAGAAAAGCCCCACTATTTGCCCAAGGTTGCACAGCTGGTAAATGGCAAAGGTGGGATGGCAACCCACGTAATCTGACTCCAGAGCTCATACTATTAACTTTTATTCTACATAGTCTCACCACTTCAATATCCCACAGGTACCACAAACCAACATGTCCATAACTGAGCCCATCATTCCCCCACAAAATTTCTCCTCCATTATTTTTCTACAAATGGAATGGCACACCCATCCACTCAATTGTTCAAATCAGAAACCTGGATACCATCCTCGACTCCTTCTTCCACCTTTCCTCAAACATCCAAGTTAAGACAAATTTTACTCCTAAATACCACTGAAATTTAATCTTTTCTGTTCACTTCTATCACAGGTTTCCATTTCTCACTCATAAATTAATGAAATAGCCTCTTAACTAGGTTTCCAATCTCATGTTCCTCCAATTCACTGCCTACACTATTTCAGAGCTTCTTTCAAAACACCTCTAGAGAAATAAAGCAAATATGGCAAAAAGTTAACAATGGGTGAATACATAAAACGGGTACAATGGCAGTTGATTGTAATATACTTTCAACTTCTCTGTAAGTTAAAATTTTTTCCCAAAAGTAGTTTTTTTTTTTTAATCTCCTATATTCTTTTATTACTCTTATGGATAAAGTCCAAACAAACACAGCCTACAAGACCCTTCCTCCAAAAAAAACTTTTATCTAATTCCAAATCTGGGTTGGATTAGTCTCTTCAGCTATTCCTACAGAACCCTATGCTACCTTATCAAAACCTAACAGACTGCAATGTAATCATGTCCTTTCCTGTCTGTAATCTTCTTGAAGATAGCAACCAAATCTACCTTGTTCACTGCACAATGCCTGGCACAGACAAAGCACTCAATTATTGAATGAAGTCTACCACACTAGCAATAAAAGTTTTTTCTTCCATATAAATGAATTAAAAGAAACTTAACTAAAACAGAGGCTTTTTTTTTTAATAACAAGGAAAGTTTTTAAAACTCATGTGCATACACACACAGAATCTTACCCAGAATCCCAAAGTATGCATAGTTGCTCTGGTAGAATCCTAAGTCTATGCAAAACAGACCAAAAACGCAGAAGACAACTTTCCTGTTTTAATCATGTTTATAGCTCCTTAAAAGCAAAGTCTTCTATGATTTCTTCATAAAACCTGCTACCGAGACTTTAACAAAGACAGTGCTCAATAGTACTTCTACTCCCCTTTGATTTCTTCATTTACCTCTCCATATTTAATCTGTCAAACAGCTTGAGCATTTCTGCCACTGAAATTCGTCTCTTCTGTCTTTTCTTTGTAGTCCCTCAACTATGGTTCAGGACCTTACTGCTCCATATCTCAAGTATTTAACAGTCCTTGTGGTTCAACCTGTCCTGCCAAATAAGTTTTCTTGAATACCATTTTCAAATGATCTGAGTAATATTCTTAACTTTGTCTTGCTCAAAAACTTTCAATGGTTAACAGTAATGCAGAATAAACAGAGTTTCATCCATTTTCTACAGAGCCCTAAGGGGTTCCTTACTTCATACAGCTCAAGAAAAAGCATAGGGAGCTGAGTATGAGGGTTATTTTAGGTCACCTATCCCTACTCCTACTCCAACTAGTGTAGTACAGTGAACTTGTGGGTACAATTGCATCTGAGCACATGATTTATGGTTAAAAACAATGACCTAGAGAATAAAAATCAAAGCAGTTTGGCTCAGGATTTAAAACCCCACAAATTCCCCCTATATAACTTCCATCCATATCCCCTCTTGTATCCCTGTAAGAAACTCAATACAAACTAATTTACTTTCCAAAATATCTCTTATCCTTTCCAACTCTCCAATTTTGCTCAGTCCCTTTTCTTTACCTGCAACATATTCCCCACTCCAGCCTGTTTAGATAATTCTATATTTCCTTAAAAATACAGCTTTGCCTAAAATCTTTCCACCTTTTGCCAAATTCTAAAAACACTTAGTATAAGAAGCATTAGCAATTCATCAATTTTTTTGCCTTGTGACATAGCTTCTTTTATAATCTTAAATATTCATGTCAATCTTATAATTAATAAATGATGAAAAGTTTCTGTTTTATTTGTAAATAGGGAGGAACAAAAGCTTCTCTAAAGGCAAGGACTTCTTTGAATTTGCCACAGACCCAAAAACTGCTTTGAAAACAGCAAGTACTCAATAATTATTTAAGAATTTCTATCCCAGAAAGGTAGTAATCTGAATAAAGATCATCCAGTTAAGTGGAAAAGCAAGAGAAATGTAAGAAACAGATCAGTTCTAGAAATAGGCTGGCTACCTATGAAAAAAAAGAAAATCAAATTTAATTCTAATGATCACTGCACATTTTAGGGGGTCCTCAACATAAAAATAAGAATACAGTTGGCCCCCCAGTATCCAGATGTAGGACCCGCAGATACTGAGGGCTAACTGTACTTTGCCATTTTACACAATCTAAGGAACTTGAGCATCCACGGATTTTCGTATCCTGCAGGAAGCGGGGTGGTCCTGGAACCATCCCCATAAATACCAAGGTACAACTGTACTATCAAAGTGTGCCTACCACAATCAGGCACAAACCATATATATATGTTTTACATTTTTGACCATTTTTAGAAATCAAGTATGTTTTATCTAAAAGGTTATAAATCTCAACGACAAGCAAAAGAAAATTTGTGCTTAAATACCTTATTAATAAGAATGAAAGACATTCATTATAGTAATAAAAAGGATATCAGCTTTAGCAAAGTCTCTTATCCCACACTGAGGTAATCCTGGTGTGTTCTGCATGTAGAAATCCAAGTAAAACCAATGGGCAAGTTCAATCTGAAAACACACTCGGATAGCATTGTCTCTTTCCTCGCTGGGAATATGCAAAATAAATCGGCTGTCAAAAACAAAAAACATACAAAAATTACATGTACAAACCATTAACAATTTATTTTAACCTTTTTAATTGCTTCACTCCTGACCCACCAACATAGAAAAGGGACCCAGAGCAGTACTGATCAAGGAAGCAAAACTGGCAGGAAATTACTACAGGGAAGATGAGTCTTTAAAAAAAAAAAAAAAAAAAAGAGATATCACATATATCTCATTCAAAATAGAATATTTTTAAGAGGCCATCTACCCTCTGTTCACAAGTACAGAGATAAACTTAAGAGCTCTCTAACAATAAATTAAAGGTGAGCAAGAAAACAAACTTCACCAGGATTCCCTCCCATGTCTGGTAACAATTTTCAAAGAATATATGCAAATATATTCATATACTCAAATAGAAAAGATGTTAGCTGCTTAATCTTCATATTTAAAGTATTACAAAAAAAATTAAAGAAATCATTAATAGACCAGATTTCCCAAAAAGCTCATTTGAAGAACCTGAGTTCAAAATAACTTTCAAATATACTCACTTTTTTTTTTTTTTTTTTTTTTGCGGTACGCGGGCCTCTCCCGTTGTGGAGCATAGGCTCCGGACGCGCAGGCTCAGCGGCCATGGCTCACGGGCCCAGGGGCACGAACCCATGTCCCCTGCATCGGCAGGCGGACTCTCAACCACTGCGCCACCAGGGAAGCCCTCAAATATACTCACTTTTAAAAAAACCTAAATTGTCTTTTCCAAGTACATTCAGAGGGAGGAAGGGACATTTATTTTAATACGTAGTATAAGTGTGCACTATATTAAATACACATATGTATATATATGATTAAGATAAATAACCCCTTTTTAATGCAACAAGTCAAAATTTATGTGATCTACAGGACTCATTAAGCAACCACCATTAAGCTTCTTCCACGCTTAGCATTTTTGTAATCTTTTTTTCTAGCAACCTTTAGAGATAGACTGAACTACATAAAAGAAATCCACTGGTTTTTAGAGTCATTTTCTAAAATTAAAAATAGCATCACCCAGTTTGATCACTTACACTATTCACTAGCTGTGGTGCTAAATGTTCTTTGTTGTTTTCAAGTTTCAAATCAAACCTCAAAAAAAAATGCTTTTAAAATTATAAAAATAATGTAGCATTCCAATAGGGGATTGAATAAGTAAATGTTAAGACAAATGTATGTACAATAATCTACAATTCAATATAGAAAAACAATGGGGAAAGGAGCTTAAAACTCCATCTACACTAAAACCAAGACATGTAACATGCAACGTTAATGGCATAATGTAAGATAAAAATCTGAGTTCTTCCATACGGCATTCAAGATCCAGTGTCTGCTCACCTGCACAGCCTCTATCACTCTGTAAGGTTCTTTATACCCAGTGATACCTAATTCTTAGTAATGTCCTAAATTGCCATCCACATACTATATCTATTCCCTTCTCTTGTCCATCTAGCAACCTTATAATTCATCCCTCATGACTTAACACTGTATCTCTTATATAGGTATATCAGACTCCTCTGAACAGATTTATAAACTCTTTCAACTCCTCCATTATAGTAATCATCTAATTTTTACTATTACTGTCCATAAACTCTTCCAAATTATTTCACTGAGATATCTTTGTATACTTTTATTCCCATAGTCTAGCAAATTGTCTGCATATACTTACAGTAACATACTGATAGTTACAATTTATCTTTGAAAGGTAAGATGGAGTAAGCACACTCCACTCTGGCCCTCCCATAAAACGTATAAAACCTGGACAAAATACATGGAGCAGCTGTTTGAGGACTGTGAAAAGTAAACAGCAGGAGAAAGACTGGGGAAGATGACGAATATTCAAATTTTACCATTTTTCACCCTCCAATATCCCCTAGCTGGATTGGGGGTTAGAAGTGACCTCCAAAAGCCCTCAAGGATCAAGAAAGGAATCTCTTAACACTCAGAGACAGTGGGGGAAATTTCCCCTCTCTTTTCTCCATTCTCTCATGCCCCAGCGCCCAAGCAATGCCACACTGGTTAGACTTGGCAGCAACAGTGGCTGTAACAGGGATCCACAGAGACTAAAACTTTGATGGACGGGAACCTTCCTCTCCCACAGCAAGAGCTGGGAGGTCCCAAGAGATTAGGGCCAACATCCATTGCTTATTTTACTTCTAACCTCCAGCTGCTTGGTCCCAGGCATAAGCAGAGTCACATGAAATGTGTGGTAGAGCGTCTTTCCATTTTTGCCTTTTTCAATATTCAATTTCCTCAAAAAGGGAGCCAAGAAGTACCAGGGAGATAGCAGAAAAGGAGCAGCTCAGGAAAATGGTCCCACAAAATTGTTTATGAACTCTAAGGCTCAACCCCAAACTGCACAAACTTGGATTAGAATACAAACAGCATACCACACACTGTGAGCTGAACGATGTATGAGACAGACCACTACCCAAGTCTCAGACTAGCCAGTAGATGATACACAAAGACAAAAAGCACTGAAAAAACTAGGCTTCTTTTATCTTATTTAACTTACACCAAGTCTCAAAAAAAACACCTGTCTGCTATATCTTATTTTCTCAGTTTGGGACATTTTCTACTGATTTCCATTATGGAAGTTGAAGAATTAACAACTCCAGTCCTCCCACTCTCATTCTACACACCATTCTCACCTCTCCATCTTCCCAACAAAATAATATCGTAGTTTGGTTAGTGTGTTAACTTCAGCACTATTGACACCTGGAACTGATAATTATATGTAGAGAGGAGCTACAGTCCTGTGTGCTGTAGGTGTTTAGCACCATCCGTAGCCTCTGCTTATTAGATGTCAATAGCACTCTCCAGTAAGCTGTGACAACCAAAAAGATCTCCAGCCACTGCCAAAGTTCCCTGAGGGGAGCAAAATCACTCCCAGTTGATAACCACCGGGTTAGATCAAAAATTCAGTCTTGAGCTTCCCTGGTGGTGCAGTGGTTGAGAGTCCGCCTGCTGATGCAGGGGACACAGGTTCGTGCCCCGGTCCGGGAGGATCCCACATGCCGCGGAGCGGCTAGGCCCTTGAGCCATGGCCGCTGAGCCTGTGCATCCGGAGCCTGGGCTCCACAACGGGAGAGGCCACAACAGTGAGAGGCCCCCCGAAAAAAAAAAAAAAAAAAAAATGAAAGAAAAGAAAAATTCAGTCTTTACATTACTATGACTCTGCAAACGCAATTCAAGACTAAGCCATGTGACAAGCTACGATTGTTTTCCCTTTAAATAAAGCACAATCCTTTGTCCTGCCACTAATTAATAAATGTCTTATTGTCTTTGCTTTGTTTTCTCTATACTTGTCACTAACTCAATCTTCCACTAGTTTCCTAAATTTTTTTTCTCAAGATGTTAATTCAGACACATCCGTTTCATCTTGAAGACTATCCCCGAGCCTTCTGATCTGTTCCAGTCTGGAGTGTTTGTCACTTCACATGATACACATCTGTCATTCTATGCTATCCTTTCACTAACATCCTATAGTTCCCAACGCCTCCATCCTGTATTTTTTTTTAATAAATTTATTTTATTTATTTATTTTTGGCTACACTGGGTCTTCGTTGCTGTGCGCAGGCTTTCTCTAGTTGCAGTGAGCAGGGGCTACTCTTTGTTGCGGTGCGCTGTCTTCTCATTGCGGTGGCTTCTCTTGCGTGCAGAGCACGGGCTCTAAGCGCACAGGCTTCAGTAGTTGTGGCACGCTGACTCCGCAGTTGTGGCTCGCGGGCTCTAGAGCACAGGCTCAGTAGTTGTGGCACACGGGCTTAGTTGCTCCGCGGCATGTGAGTTCTTCCCCGGACCAGGGCTCGAACCTGTGTCCCCTGCATTGGCAGGTGGACTCTTAACCACTGTGCCACCGCGGAAGCCCCATCCTGTATTTAGATCTATTTCTTATATCCTGTCTTCCTCCTAATTAATGTACTTCCTATTTTTACGAAGTACATCCTCCCATGCCTTCTGGAAAAAGGATGCAGGGGAGATTAATATTAAGACATGGTGAATTTGAAAATATTTTTATCCTCACACTTGACACTTTGGCTAGGTAAAGAATTCCAGGTTGGAAATCATTTTCCTTCAGAATCCTGAAGACAGTGCCCACTCCTGTCAGCCTATAATTTTGATGTGAAGACTGAAGTCACTCAGATTCCTTTGTCCAACCTGTTTTTTCAGACTGGAAGCTTCCAGGTTCTTCCTTCTATCCTCAATGTTCTGAAATTTCTCAGTCGTCTATTATTCATCCACTGCATCACCCATTCAATGGACTTTACCTATTTAGAAACTCACCTCCTTCAGTACTAAAGGACCTCATGGACTGATCCTTTGATTCTTCACTATTCTCTGATATTTCCTATCTCTAATTTCTCAAGCCCCCTTACTTTCGGGAAACAGTCTCTTGCAAGCCATCTATTGAGGTTTTTGTTTCTACTCTCATATTTAAAATTCCAAAGGCTATTTTTGTTTAAATTATGCTTTCACAGATAATTCTGTTATTCCATGACTGTAAAAACCTATCTAAGGAGATCAATGTAGTTTTGAGGGGTTTTTTTGTTTTAAAGTTTTCTTCTATTTACATAGTTTGATTCTTTTCAGTTGCTTTTTTGTTGTTGTTAGTTTTATGCTCTACTTTTTGTGTTAAGAGGCCTATTTCAGATGTTCGTATTTAATGTGATAGACCACAAAGCTAATTAGGAAGGTTGTCAAACTATGAGGCACCACTTATGGTGATCAGTCTGAGCCATTTAATCAAGGAACCTCCAATGTTAGTATCTTTAGGTGTTTCCTCGTGGGCTAGTCAGATCATCTAGACAAGAAGCTTCCAATCTCCTATCTGGAGGGTAAAGCCCAGGCTGCCACATTCTGGGAGCTGAGCAGGGGAAGAAGGATGGTTTTCAATATGTACACAGGATGCATAAACTCACTTCTGCCACTTTTCAACATTCTCTGATTCTGAAGTAGACTGACTACTACAGTAGTCTTTCACTCTATCAGGTCTGC